AGATGCATGCTGGGACAATATAGTCAATTACAGGTTAACAAAAGTTCAATTCTTGTTAACCTATGATTGTTAACTCTTGTTAACCTATGGTTGACAAGAGTTGTTAATTCTCTTGAACTTTTGTTAACCTATGGTTGTATCCACTGATGAGGCCAGTATGAGATGAAATGCATATGGATTCTAAGAGGAGAAAAAATGTAAAATAAATGTTTAATTCTTGATTGTTATTTGGTTTTCTTTTGTAAATCTTCAAAGTCGGAATAGAACGAGTATAACATTACTTGATAAATCTTTCTAAAAATGGTTTATTTTTAGAATTATATATATTTTTTAATATTAAGTTATAATTAAATATTATCTTGGCTATGATAGCAATTATCATTTATTATCATAATCATAGCAATATTAAACTTTGATAATTTTTTAAAAATCTGTTTAAACAGAAACACATTTTCATTTCAATAACACTTCATTTGCTCAAATATGACATGAGTGTTTTTTGAACAAATTTTTTTCTTAAAATTGATTACACAGATTATTTATATACATACACTCACATATACATTTACACACATTATGCATTTTCTCATTCTGGATGTTTACAATAAGCAAATAGATTTACCCCTACAAAAGCTTTTACCATATCTCCCCCTTCAAACATAATGACTTTGACTTCTTTACATCTATTTATCTTTTAATATGTTCCTTTTTTTTTCTTAAGCTCGTAATATCTCTCTTAAGCTCATATTCATCCATTTGTTCTATCTTTTCTAGGTTTGTCCTCTCATGCTTATTGTTTAAAATATCTGTGTGTACTTTGTCATCTCTCTCTTGCTCATTCTGTCAACATGTCCAAACTAACAAATGCAAATTTACTTTTCACAAACATTTTCCTTTTCACATTGCACTTCTTTAGTGCATTCACATTTCTAACATAATTATATCTCATCACATATACATTTCTCAAATAATGCATCTCACAAGAGGATATAAGTTTCTGTCACTAGGGCCAAACTTAAGCTGATTGGGACTAGATTCTGCACAAGGATTATAACTTCTGCAAAAAGAAAAAGTTTCATTCTAAACAAGAAACTGCCATCCTTTTTTGTGAAAACTATAGTTTTTAGAATTAGTAACATTGTTTAATTGTTGTTTTATTTTTTATTGAGCACAAACCAAATCCCACATTTGCTAAGACCAGGAATGTCTATCATACCAATATCTCACTATCATACAACAATATAAGTATTTAAAAAAAATAAATAAATAAATAAAAACTTGCAAACTGAATGAATTTATAAAATGGATAACACATTTTAATATCCTTTACAAACTATTTGCTAAACTAATGTTTTTCAGCTGGTTTATAGCTTCATCAGATTAAAAAAAAATCCAATATATTTTCAAACACAGGATTTAAGTTCAATCTGATAAAGAGGGAAACTAACTCAAAAAATATTAGTTTAGCAAATAGTTTATGCCAGATAGTAAAAAATGTGTTATTCATTTTATAAGTATCAAACCACTCTTATATATAATCATCTAGTCTTTATGATGAGTTTATGTTCTCTAGCAAGCTATTTACAGTTACTAATTTGCTCTGCATTAGATTAAATGACATTTTCTTTTGTCTTACCATTGATTTATTAAATTTTGTGTTATTTACAATTATTTAATTAATATATATATAAAACTAATATTGTTTATATAAGAAATTATTACAAGCTGCAGCACAGACAAGAGAACACATAATATTGAGATTGTGATGCCAAAGTCAGGAATGGAGCTCTAGTATATTTACATTTACATATCTTTGTCAATTTTTATTTTTATCCTAATATGAAATGATCAAAATAAATTTTTTCATTGTTGACTATATCAAAAACAGATTCCATGTCAAATATGGTTTTTGAATAAAACTATACAAATATTAAGACATCCTGAAATAATTTATATTTATTTAATACTTAAAATCAATTTATATTATACATTATATTATATCCTGTCTATAAATTAGTTTCATTCTTTGTGCTATTCCTTCACAGTTAAAAGTAAATAATTAATAAAAAAATACATAATTCAATAACATGTTTTTATATATGTTAAATGTTTTTAAATATAACAAATTAAGAAATTCATACTTACTACTTGAAAAAGTGCTAAGTAAGCATTTAATACATTATCAAAATTGATGAGAGGATTAAACCAAGTATAATTTCTTTCTACACATGCATCCTTTGTTGGTATAAAGGTCCAATTGAGTTTTTCACCCTCCTCATCCACACATTTATGAAATTTTCCATTAAATAACTGTACACCCATAATTGCAAAAATTAACCAAAAGATGAGGCACACTAATAACACATTAAAGATGGCAGGGATAGCTTGTACAAGTGCATTTACAACAACCTATAAATTTATAGTAATTGAATTCAAATATTAGAATATAATTATTTTAAAATTTTATTTTAATTAGTACAATTTGTGTCATAAAATCAGTTATAAACTACATTTGAACAATTCAAATTTATGAAATAATTCATTTGACATATACATATTAATATATGTAATGATGAACAACAACTGCTAAAATTCTTGTTAAGAAACAATATTTTAATCAGAAATGTTTTTGAAAATGTCTGATCATCTTCAGTTTACAGAATAAACAGAACAGAATTATTTTAAATTTAAAAAGGAGAAATTCAATTAAGAAATATAAAAATAAGTGCATAAATAAATAAATAAATAAATAAAATTTAAAAAAACACAAACACATACTGTATATATAATAATAATATATACCGAAATATATGACTCATGATATATACATACATATGTGTATATATATAAAATAACAATTTCATAAATTTAAATTTGTAGATTTATATATCAACTTTTAATTATCCAGAATAATATGCGCAAATATTAAAATAGACAGTGTATATTAACATGCATAAAAAATTATATTTATCCTCAATAAAATAAATTCAGTTTTTATAATACTTATAGTCTGCCATAATAAAATCATCAGAATTAAAAACATTAATTTTCTATTAAAATTAATTAATAATTGACTCACTTTTTAAAATAAATTTTGATAGTTTATGTACACTGGATAATTAGTAGTAGTATTATATAAAAATCTTAAATGTTTTTATAGAAGTCTGAAAAATTTTGAACTGTTATGATTTAATAAATATTCTCAATAATAATAATAATAATAATAACAACAACAACAACACTAATAAAAATAATTTAAATATTTTATATTATTAATTTCAAAAGTTAAATAAACTGTTGGATATTTTAGTATTTTAATCACATGCATTGAAATTCATTACAATTGAAAATAAATAAAAAGTAACAATATACATGCTTTAAAAATATATTATTTATTATATTTATCATCATTTAATGAACATAATATAAATATAGCAAAATAATTTAATCATTATTAAAGTAAAAAAAAATATGAAATAGCTAAATACATGGTGCCATGTCCATTTATAACTACAAGATACATATTTGTATTAATCACTTTAAATGTACAATTCATCATGTAACTAATTAATTCATTAATTATAGTAATATATAAAGGAAAAAAAAATGAATCTTCCTCTAACTTTTAGTTTAATTATTCTAGAACTGCACCATAAATAGAAACAGTA